GAACATACATAATAAATAATCAAACATACGGCCGATGAATATTTTAGAAGACTGTTTTTTTTTTTTGCTTTTTCCGACCACACTTTAAAAATTCACCCGAATCTCGAACAGTGGCTGTTGCCAGCTTAAGTATAGAATATTAGAATATATAGGCAAGCATATTATGTGCATGTTCTTATATAGTATAAATATCCAGCTTCCGAAACATTTCAATAATGAATGATTCTATAATCACTGTGATGCCACAAATTAAATAAAAATTAATTTGTGGTGCTGCGGTGTGTTTTGTATTTTGTTACGATGCGTCGTGAAATCCATCTGTCACGGCATCATTCTACTCAATTGACCGTTAATTTTATATATGTATGTACAAATTAGGTGAGTATCAGGTGGGAGGGTATAATGTTTTATGTTGGTTTACGGTGACACTATAACCTAACCACACTCCACCTCTGGGCACCACAAACCGAAATGTTGAGCACACCTGAGTTGAGTACAATGAAACTGTCGTCATAGCGACAGTCAATTCGAATTGATTTTACTCAACGCAAAACGCGTATGTCATACAAGTGCACAACTGACTATTATATTATTTATAGGTATTATTAATATTATTAGGTATATTAATTATTCTTAATATATTAGTAATTTATATTCATATATAGTCATCAGTAACGTTCCCATGGGGGGAGTTTAGGGGTTATTTCTAAATTGACCCATAAAGCCTCTTTTTTGTGTCTTTGGTATTACCACCACAATTAGTTAAAATGGTTTTATTATTTATTTCTTATAACATTTCCTCCCCTCCCAATGAAAATTCCTGGGTACGTCATTGATAGACACTGAGATATATGAAAATATTAGGAATCGAAGTATTTTTTATGTATCTCGATGAGCATAGATAACGAAAAAGCCTCATATTTATTTACTTATATTATAATAATCTTATACGTAAACACTTCTAGGTAAGAATCTACTGTATTACTATCACACTGCAACAGTTGTCTAACCCACCGTACGAAATAACGTCTTCAGTATTGATTCAAATTTATATTATAATATTAAAATTAAAAATATATTATATACATGCCTCAAGCCCTCAACACAGATTATACACTAATGATTTTTCTAGCCAGGATGATTTGACGTCTGATAGGTGTTGAGAGCGTATAACAGAGATTTATAATTTCCAAATTCTGGTAATTATAATGGGAAGGAATTATGAAATAGCGGAGTTTATTTCGTTTATGCATCATTCATTTCACAGGTAAAAAATGTAGTTGATTGTTTGTGTAATATATGGTTTAACATATTAACAGGTAATAAGACGAAATGACTAAATAATGCATCGATATCCAATACACTGATACAAGAATACGAGTACAGCAGATTCAAGAAGAATACTAAGGTAAAATAAAAATAAATTATACTATAAATTATTTTGTAATATTTTAATGAATGAAAATAATGACCAATTAACGAATCTGCCTATTATTAATATAACCGTTTTTAATTTTTTTTAATCAAAAAAGCGATATACAAATACAAACGTCCTATGTCTGACAAAAATTAAATCGAAGTACAAATATAAAATTTGTATAAGTAATAATATTTAATACATCCTTTTTTTTGGTTCATAAGTGTTTTTTTTCAATCTGTTACAAAAAAAAAAAAAATAAACAATAAGAACAATTGATGGTATACAACTAATTATTTTATTCTATCATATCCGTTTTCAGTCAACTATAATTTGGGTTCTCAAAAATCTGAAGATATATTTGAGAGCCTTGGATCAAACCTGCCAGTCCCCAACATAATATCATTCCTCCAGCAAACCAGATTGAATTGCCAAGCGAATTTAGTCAAAATACTCAACTTTATTTTTCTTTTCTTTTTTTTTTTTGATTGTTTGTTTGTTTACGATTAGTCAACTTTTAATTTAATGTATATTATATAATAATATAAATGTAATATTGCGTCCAATGGTCACAGCTGCCGCGGACTGTTTCTTTCTTTAGTTAAAAAAAAAAAATGGGTTCTACATTGTTTGTAAGAAATTAGAATTAGGTTTGTCTCGACTGCTGTTGTAACAAAATTAACAAACTGYACTAAATGTGTGCGTATTACATCAACATTAACGATGACATATCTGTCATGTACTGTGCGCTGGCAGAGATTCTCATAAGTTTTATGAAACGACATCGAAAGATAATCATAGTACTACTATTATTATTTTATTTATGTTTGTTTATAGTTTTTATACTTAGTTTAAATTGCGGTCAGGTTTAAACCACTGCAACTGCATGGCTTACAGTGGCGGGGATGTGTGCTGAAATGGAAAAGGGAGGAGGGTATACTTGTGATATCGAAGCTTCCAACACGCATCTGTTTCATGCTGAGAACAAAAACCCACCAGCTTATCGGATTCGCATTATACCACGCGCGTGACGTGTATCGATTCACTCTGGCTGCTGCTGCTGCTGCTGCAGTACCGCGGGTTGGAGTGCCCGCAAACGAATAAACTACCACAGCAGAGAGAAAAAATGAAAATTCACACCTGAKACAATAATAATATAACCGTGACGGAAGGCAAAGGAGAAGGTTAAGAACTCGTATAGAGCACCACTCCAGAGAGAAATAGTGTCACGAGTGCCATTAAAAGGCGCATGCTTGCTAAAATTCAGTCATATTACCGTTGGTATRTATAGGAGTGTGTGCATAAAGACGCAAGAAGGGTCCGAAGTGGTGTTGGTTGGGACGCGTATAATTGTGGTAGGGGAGGAAACCGAGATGATGAGAGTACGAGAGAGATGTATAAAGAGACAGAGAAAAAAGGGTGGTTGGTGAGATAGAGAGAGAGATAGAGTGAGARAGAAGTTCTATAAACCCAGCACCCGGTTGTCCAACAATGACAAGCAACACGAATTGGCATCTACCCTTACTCTTTCACTACCGATAGTCGTCATCTCCCGTTTTGGTACTCCACATCTACATATATTATGTCATTATGATATTTTATTTTACATCTCATCCCCATCACGTTTATCATATTATTTTGTTTTCCTTTCCAAAAGTTTTATCGTTTTATTCATGCAGTCGATATATATATAAGTATACTTATATATTTATTGTATTCATTTTATTACATGGAAGATGGAACTATTAACAATATTACAATAAGATCTGCAGATATTAATTATAAACARCCAATGATAATAAAATACTTTATCTATAGAATTTCTAACAAATTTTTCGCTGAGGAACAGTTTTTCGTAATTTACATTCGTATTATCTACTCAAACGCGATAATTAATACAAATAATAAATAATGATTTATCGTATAGATAATATAGAAAGTATAGAAGTATAGTGTTATATTCAAATGGTAAGTATGTCAGCGGTATTCTTCATATCACTGCGCACGCACCGAAATCAAAGTCGTCGATCGACTGAACTTACTATGACAATAATAATATCATATCTGTATACAGARTATAATACTCATAGTTGTATTATGCATGCAGTTTTCGTATATTATACCTATAATATTATTTCCGTATTATTATTTAGTTAGGTAGCTACACATGATTTTAATACACATCTCGGCGCGGCGCCGCCGTCCTAAAAAGCGATGGCACGTGATTTATGAGCACGTGCATTACGACAATTTAACGTCTATGACGTATGGTATATATAGTATATATATATAATAATCTGTATGTATATATTATATACGGCTACTGAGCCACCGGTGGAAGTGATGGGTGAACGGAGGGTCTACACGAGAATGTGTGATTGTAATGTTATGTGTGTGCACGCATGAGTACGTGTAGTGGTTGGGTTGGTGAGAGGTGGTGAGAGGAAGAGGTCCCGATGACCTGATCTAATTTTGTAGACGTCGCACTGCTGCGGTTCGTCAGTCAAATCCCTACAGTCCTTGTCGCCGCGTAAAACATGTAAAACGCGTATGGGGCAATGACAGCGCGCGATTATAGTATGTACACAATGAATATACCAATTACCAATGAACATATACTTATTAGGTACCTATGTAAAATAATATATATTAATACCTATACTACGATGTGTGTACAGCACACAGCCACACGGCGCAAACTTGTTTTAGCCTAGGGCACAGTGTATGTTATTACTCTTACTTTCACCTTATTATAGGTTCATACATATATATAGGTTATTATATCATATTATACCCGCGTGTGTGTGTATAATAAACATACTCACACACACATGCGCGGCGGTGAAACATTCGCCGGACTTAGACGCCGCCGCTTCCGCCGCCACCGCTACCACCGACGACGACGCTTTATCGATTTGCGTTGAATATGTGCGAAATCCCTAAACGAGGATTACGTCCCTGCCGACGCAAAGACGGGAAACCAACCACCACTGGGAATTCGTCGTCGTCGAGTGGTTTTGAACTCCTTTTGTTTTGCGGAGGGACGGAACACACATAACAATATAGCGGACACTATAATAGCGAATATTATACGATAACGTAATCGCATCATAATAATGATATAACAAACGCGTGATCGGCGGATGTCGAAGAACAATCGATTGCAAACGGGCAACCGCGAGAGCACCCCGCACACGGGGTTCCCCCAGCTGAATCAACCGCGGTAGAAAAAACAGCTACAGACGTACCTGTACGGTATTTACGTCCGGTAAGAAAACAAATTCGTTTCCCAGAAATACAGCACTTATACTAACTACCTACCTATTATATGGTATACGCTAAATACTAATATAGTATGCTACATAATATTATGATCGTTGTCGTTGCTGTATATAATATATCGAAACAGACCACAATAATTAATGTAATAAAAATAATAATTATACAAATTACGTTATAATATTATATTATATCGCTCGGCGGTATAAGTGAGTACTGCATAAGAGACGTCACGATAAATATAATATACAGGTATGTACACACACACACACACATATATATATATATATATATAGGTACTTACTTTCCGAGTTCCTCTTTAAGTTCGTAATTGTCACTAAATCGCGTACATACGAGCGGCGCGGCCATCGTGTCGTGCGGTGTTCGTGTGCCGTGTGTAAATGTGTGTGCGAGTGTGTGAGTGTGTGTGGTTAGGTTGTAGTTTGGTTAAAAAAAAATTATACCGAGGGGGCCCGCGTTCGGCGTTCGAACCGTGTGTCTACTGCGTGCAGCACAGTACGTCGGCGTGCGGTGCAAGCGTGTGCCGCGTTTGCGTTCGCGTTCGCGTTTGCGTGCGCGCGCGACCGTGTGTGCGAATGTGTGTGTTCGTCCGTATGTGTATATACGTGTGTGCGTGCGTCTTGTGTGCAGTGCGTAACGCCGCGGACGCCGGTGCGGGTGCTCTGCGGGCGCCGTTCCACAATCAATACCGCAGGCGGAGTCGGCGGCGGCGGCCGGTCGGTAAAGTTCGGCACGTCTCGGGCGGATCGCCGAGCTACTTGTTGACATCCCTCTATTATAATGGTGTAGCGTAGTGGAGCCGCCGCCGACGCCACCGCCGCCGCCGCCGTAGCCTGTGTTCGATATCAGACGCCGGCGCCCCTTTTGTGTATGTATGCGCGCCGCCGCCGCTGACACGGCCGCGCGCGATATGTTCTCTCTACCTCTCACCCATCCGTTACTGCCAATGCCTCGTCCTGCGTCACCGACGTCCATGACACCACAATTCGCTGTTTTTTCTTTAAATTATATACATGTAAATCGTACTATTGTCAGCTTAACCTACTCCCCTCCCAGGGTTTCTCTGTCACACCCCCCCCCCTATGTATATGTGGCTGGGACCAATACAATTGTTTGCTATAATGAGCTATAAAATGAACTTTATTCGTTTTGATGAGAAACTATACGAGGAAAAAAAGCTTAGAAAACAATAATTGTTGAATTAGTTTTTTTTTAAGGGTTTGTGAATCAAAGTCGTTTCAGCATCCAATATCTGATGTTTATTACAGTTAGATGGTTGAATTACGACAATAAATGTCTACAGTTCGATCATTCGAAWAGAAATAAAATAGTAATGAAATCTTTAATTTAAAAATGATTAATCAATTTATAAAACGCTTTTCCTTTGCGACTCGTATTATTATATTATWATTTATATTCTACAACATATAAATGTTAGCGTTCTGCTATCAATCTTATAATTGTTTCTTTTATAACAACATCTAACATTTGATAATAATCATCATAATAACAGTAACTGTTAAAATTAATTATTACTAATATAAATGTTATTCATAATTATTAGGTATACCGTATAAATAATATATAGTGTATTTAACTGTATACACACAAAATTTAAACCAACGACTTGTCAAATTTTAAACAATTATTTATCTATAAGTTTTTGGTTTAAAAATTATATGCACTTTTATTTTAATGTAACTTTCATCACTTTTTAGAGCAGAATACTCCAATCTTCAACATTGAGAGCGGTGTAAGTTAACGAATCGAATCTAATTAGTACTATTAAAGGAAAAGAATAAAATTGGATRTATGAATGACAAATATTTTTTTGAGAGTAGAAAAGATTGAAAAATTGATACAACATTTCTCATGAGTTGTACTTACAGTAATTAAAAAATATCGAAAATATATTGCCACAATTATTTTTCATTTGAACGTTTCAAGTTAATTTTTGCAGTTACATTTTTGCAATTCATAACATAATAATAATACCTAAAACTTAAATATTTAGAGTTTAAAAAATCCGTTTTGTATGATTGATTGAAGTTTCTTGACATAATATTATTATATAATAGATATATTCAGATGTAAAATGACGATTTTTCCTCAACCAATTTTTATTATCTTATTCTAAATTGTAACTATAATAATACATTCATCGCTATGCTCGGGATTTATAATATTATAAATATATATATTACACTAATTATAACATTTCACTAATATTTAAATTATAATTTTCTATATACAATTACATTTTCAAGATATTTAAACTAATGTCAAGCTTTATTATTTTTTATATAAGTTTTTTTCAATTAAAAATTGTCAAAAGTCCAAACACACAAAAATGTCCAGCTTTTTTTACACCTTAAACTTGAAAATTCAATTCAATATTCCTTAAAGGTTTTATTCAGTAACTTAAAAATCTTAAAATTACAAAAGCTTATTAAAAAAGAAAAAAAGAAAAGCCATTTCAAGTTAAAATACTGCTGAAATTGGATATTTAAATGATAATTAATAATATTTTCAGTTATTTTGTTGTAATTCCACTAACATATTTCTCAGAGACTTGAAACTTTTTACTATATTTTGTATAATGAATATTGTTATTTAGTTTACACAATGAAATTTCTAAAATATTTAAATTAATTTTAAAATATATTTATACCACGAACCTATTCACACCGGAGTACGGTACGTCGGTGT